CATCGTTGTTTGGCGGGTCCGGGCTGGGGATTCGAACCCGCCACCTTAGGTGTACGTGGCTGGCGCCTTAGCCGGTTGAGCTATAGGCGCTGAGCCGGGTGAATAGTTTCTAATGGCTGAAAAGTCACTTTAAGTCTCTTCTGTATGAAATTTCAAGAAAAGTTTTATATAGTTCCCTTTTCTTTTCCAGACTAACTTCTTTTAATTCTGCTGTATTTAGGAGTCTGTGCTTCCATTAGGGAGACTACACTCTTAACATTCTTCTCAAGTCTTAGCTCATACCCCCATTCACACACGGGAGGTTAGTTTCTTTCCCTATCCAGAGTCCCTTTTTAATTTATCCCCAAGGCTTAGTCTGCTACCAGGTTCCAGTTTTTTGCTTGGTGGAGAGGGAGAAAGGGAGGGACTAATGTAAGTAAAGAGATGAGTAGTTGTGTTATAGTTCATTAAAAAAAAAAAAAAAGAAAAGGTATTGCAAGAAAAGGTGCAAAATATTCCTGAAAGTCTCCAAGCCATCCAAATCCACATATGGACGTTTAGAGGAATTATTTAAATACTCAGCAGGCTGAGTGCAGGAATACGTGTGTATAGCATGTGTATACTTTGCTTTTGTTTTATAACATTGTCAGTTAATTTGGGGTTCTTTGATCCTTGGCACCCATTCTTATTAAAGTGATGGAATGCCATAAAATGTACTGTATTGTATATTAGTTGGGAAGACACTAGGTATTCAAAGAAGTCTGGTGGCACTTGGGCTATAGAGGGCTCAGTGTAGCCAAAGTCCTCAAAGATTGCACCTCCAGTTTGGCCTTGTACATGTCCCCACATAGTGAGGCGAGATTGTGGCTGGGGGAGGAAGAAGGACGGCATAAAAGAATGGCACTTACTGTGTTTTGTCCTTCTAACCAACTTAATTAGGGCACTTTACTCCAGCACAAAAAATGATGACTTGGCCGTTTTTAATGAGCTTTAAATCTGGTCACTCATTTTGTTTCAGTACTAAGCAAGAGGCCATCCTGAAGAGCAGTCAGAAGAAATGCTGACCTTGTACCTAGAGAGCTAGTGGCAAGGTCAGTCTGGCATGGCTGAGGAAGCCTCCATTCAGCGAGGTTTCCACAGGCATGTCCTAGTTCTCTGATGCTCTGCAGAATAGCTTGTTAATTGAGCAAGCCCTTCACTTCTCTGGGAAGGGGGACTGTGCTGGTTGTCCTCAGACCAAAGAGAGTCACTTTGGACTCCCATCAGCTTCAAGCCTGGCAGAAGCTTCTCCTCATTTTTAACACTAAAATTCATGGAAGCAGTGGAAAAAAGGATACATTCCTACCACAGAAATAGGGGAATAGTAGAACTTTCGACTAGTAAATACATTTTCGTATCTTTGCTTGAGCTGCCAAAGAAGGGTCACGAAGTGTCTTTCCTGATGGGAGAAGTGGCTCAGGGTTGCAGGGCTATGAGCGACAACTGCACTGAATGACACTTTACTTTTTGGCTTTGGCTTATTATTTAGCACTGAGAAGCCCAGGGGAATTGGTGAATACAGTAGCACTTTGGGAAATTAAGGTACCCTCTGGCCTTACTTTGGAGAGACAGCATGCTTGGTATTCCATTTGGCTAATCAGGAAATCTCTGTAGTCCATAGTCCATCAGAGTGGGATTAAGAATCCATTGCTGAAGGAGTGGTTGCTTTGAGTTTTCAAAGCATGCCTTTTGGATTTGCTGGATCAAATAACCCACATTTTAAAAGAAAAGAAAAGAGGGTTTACCCTAATTATGGGAATGGAATTGGTAGAGTTGGTTCAGTGTTAAAGTGGGTTAGGAGGGAGTGGCCTTGAGATTTGTATTGCAAACTCTCCTGAAGGTTTCAAGCAGCACTACTGTTCTTAAAAGGGTTTTATTTTAACTTCATCTGCTTTGTTAACATCCAGTCCAATTGTGATTGCAGAGACCGTGTGAGAATACCTGGCACTGGGGAGGCCACCTTGCCCAGATTGTTGAAAAGAAAATTGGTCTGGACAGCTTGTTGTCTTTTGTCTTTATGTAATGTTTTTTGTTTGTTTTAAAAGACTAATGTTTATTACAGTGTTAAATAAAAGTGTTACATACTAAGTGTATAGAATAAAAGTGCAATAATAAAAAAATTACTTTGGCACAAACTTCAGTCTTCATATTCTGTTTTCTTGTGCCACCTGGCTCTTCCCATAATTTTGTTACAGCAGGACCTTGTTAATTGTGTGTATTTTTAGGAGATGCAACTCTGGGTAAAGTCTTTATTTAGTGCAATTTTCAATAGTTGAGTTTTATAGAGTATTCTATATACTTGGGATACACAAATGTCCCATGTGCTGTATAATAAAAATCACATTAACGTTTTAGGTTTACATCTGTTTAGCTTTGGCTTTCCCTTATCTCACTATCCATGTTAAGAGAATGTCCCTATTTCATTCCATTTCCATTGTGACCTGCAGTCAGAGGTCTTTCAGCTTGCTGTAGCAGAGATTGGTGAACCATGTTACTCCCACCAGGGGTCCTCTCCAGCTGTGATAGCTCTTGGTCTCCCAATACTTTACATTAATTACCACTACTAGAGGGTGTGGCAAGAGAGTGGGAGGTAGGATAGCAGAGAAGAAGGGTACAAGGTAGGATGATAGAGAGCAATTGATTTTCCAGAGCCCATCCTGGGTGACATCCTTTTCTCCAGCTTCCTTTCAGCACGAAATTGCAGCATTCTGAGTTCGTATACAGGTACAGGCCAGCTATTCCTTGTTATACTATGAGAGAACTGAAGAGATATACCAGCCTTTCTGCATTTAGATGTTTTGAATGTTGTCTTCAGGCTAAACCCCACTGTTGAGATGTGCTTGCTCAGCAGTGCCTGGCAGACACTGTCAGGAGAGCAGCACTGACTATAGTCACCAGGCACGGTCAGCATGCAGCAAGCCTCTTCTCCCCTGGGTGTGTTTGGTTTGTTCTTGGTTACCATATCATGCCAACCTTGTGTGGATGAGTCATTTTTTGTTATAACTGCTTGTGATTTGACTGCAACAGAAGGTTGACCAGGAGATGGCAGCACATCTTAAACAGTTAGGGTGTTTGTGCTTCTTGAGGGAAAGGCTAAAGTTGAATGTCTGTGGCCCTCAGTCTATGTCTACATGGTAGTCATTTAATGATGGTAAACCTCTGATGTCTGTGATACTCTTCACACACCCCAGCCACCCTTCCAGTTATATATCCCACCTTATGGCTCGGTGCCTGTATCTCTGTGGTTAGAGTGCCAGCCACATATACCAAGGCAGGTGAGTTTGAACCCAGCCGGGGCCTGCTAAACAATGACAACTACAACAAAAAATAGCTGGGCGCTGTGGTGGGCACCTGTCATCCCAGCTACTTGGGAGGCTGAAGCAAGAGAATCGCTTAAGCTCAAGAGTTGGAGGTTGCTGTGAGCTGGGACGCTACAGCACTCTACCAAGGGCGACATAATGAAACTGTCACACACACACACACACAAAATATATATATATCCCATCTTATATGCATATACCCTATATTATCCTA